GAGTTTATTATAAATGAAATTATTTTTTGGAGTAACTACATATATGACAATCTTGAATAGCAAAGTTCTCTTGATCCCCTCGGACGTCGCCGACTTGTCAAGGAACACTTCCTCAACTTCTATCGTCTTTTCTTCCCTATCCCTTCATTTCTACATAATATTATTATTCTCGTGTATTTATTTTTGTACAAAAGTATACTACTATATAACAGTTATTATCATCTACATATACATATATACATTGGCCCTTCCTTAATTTATAATTAAGAATTTTTTCATCCTTACATTAGAGGAAAAGCTGTCTTTTACGCTTTGACTTATTCTCATGTAAGTTATAAATCTATTCTGTATTGCTTAACTAAAGAGTATTTCTTTATAGCCCATAAAAAAATAAAATCACAACACAGAACAGTAATGTAACTGTCAGAGTAAGCTAAGGTACAACAACCAGGTAACCTTCAGATAGAAATTCAAGAGCTGGAAAGGGGGGTGCAACCAAAGAATATCTTCTAATAGAAGTGTTTTAAATAAATACGAATATACTTTCTTATGAGGCAAAGTTTAGAGACAGGACGAACAAGTCGCCCACCTGATGATAAGTGACATGCACTGCCACTGCGCCCGTCACCCTGAGATATAAGTTGACAAGTCCCATGTGCCTGTAATTTAATCAGCACCCTTACCCTTCAAAACCGGAACGCAGTAATGCTCACATTACTGCTTGGCGGCAGAAATAGGTGAGGTGGCAGTACTTCCCTGGACGAACTCTTTCACAAGGAGCTCTACAGATACTAAAAATATGCGTAAGTTAATAATATAAATGTATAAATAGTAACAATAATACAAACATTATTAAAATATATACAAACATAATATATAATAATAAGTTTTATTTACATAATTTTGTAGGAAAATAGAATAATAACAAAAAAAATTAACATAGGAAGATTATAACACTATGCAAAATTGAAATGATTGAAGAGAATGGAAAGAAAAAGTAGATTTAGGAGTTAAGGAAATTTTCCTAAAAAATCATCGTTTAAAGGAACCAAGAGAAGGGATAGTCGAATAGGTTCAGGGTGAGAATTCCGTAGCCGGATAGCAGATAGAGAAACGATGTTTAATATGAGTGTATCAGCGAATAGAAGGAGACGGCAAAGTGAAAAGTGAAAAAGCGTTCATTCATGTAACAAGCTCCTGCAATATTATACAACATTTCGACGTGAAGCCTTGGAATTTCTCATATCATACATACTTCGCTGTGTTGTATCACAAATATGCAACAGTTTTTAACTGAAAACTGGAAGGTGGTGACAAATCACCTGGAAAGAAAGAAAAGTGACGTACCACCTAAAGTATGGGTTGCAACAACGCGATCTGTAGACTTAATTATTCCAGTTTTTAATTATCACAACACTTTCTTGAGTTTGCGGGGCAGCGCGAGTCGAGGGGGTGGTGCGGCGGTTGCCATCTGCTTAATAGACTCTAATTTTCAAGGACCGGGACCATGCGAGGCAGGCTATGGCAGCACGACTGCACTGTAATCAATTCATAAAAAGTCGGCGCCTCGACGACACAGGCATGACGATTGTGCCCAGGAATTTCAATTTTGCTTTTCAATTGCTAGTGAATGTCGCCTCCATCTCCAAATTTTATTAGCGCAGCGCGGAGCTCGATTAACGACACCCCCCGCCGGTTGTGCCCCGATAACGAACAATAAGACAAACAGCCTATACACTCGAATTAAGAATTACGGCTGGCTCCGGCCCCTGTAATAAAACATGAAAATTCTTCAAAGGGAACAGATTATCCAATTCTGCGAGTCTCCGCGGTATCATAAAGGCGATAAATTTATCTTTTCTAATAAAAGTGTCACCTGTTCAAAGGCTCGTCGAGTAGGTTTGCGGCAACACGAAAACAACCTGCTTAAGGGTGATTCATGCTACACCGTGCCGAACCAGAGCCTACCTCTGCAGTAGCACGACCAACGAATATCTCATGCTCACAGTTCTCAGCTTAACGTGAATGTGTATGAATACATTCACGCCGCAATCGCGTGTTGGCCCAACTCGGGCCGTGTATGTGTTCATGCACAATTTATTGGTTTATGTGATCAGCTGACGTTCGGCCCGGGCTCGACACGGCGTGGCGCGAATCGTCCTTTATGTTGTGTAAGCACTACGCGCCCGCGCTTACAAATACGTAAAAAAGGTAAAAAATTCCATACTCCGTTCGGTGAGGACGGCGTAAGCATCTCCCTCTGCGAAATGCCGCAAAAAGCTGCAATCAATGCACTTTGCCTCGCTCCAATCTTACTCAAAAGCTTTTTTCAGCGGTTTACGAGCTGCTTACAGAACATTTTACACATAATAGAAAGTTTCGGTCCATTTATAACAATGGTTATAAAATATGCTCCCGCATTTTAACTAGATTACGCCACATCTTTCAGTTGATTAATTTGGGCGACGGCGAGGGCCCCATGTTCTCGTTGTCGGTAATTGTTGGTTCCATTCCATAGCCATGACATAAGTCAGTTTCCTCCCTCGGCGGGTCAATGTTTACCTATTACTGTACACAACACAACATGTAACACATTAATTATGTAGGTAGTTACCTCACACTTGAAAATATGTTTGTAAATATTCGAATAGTGTATGTGGGTATGCAGTTGGTAACCGTACCACTGAAATCACTGAAGGAAATGTAACGTCTCAAATACATTTCTCAAATACATTTTTCAAAATGTTGAAAGTAGACAACGCTCTCGGCCTGCTAAGAAAATTTGTCCAGATAATTTCTCAGACAAAGACAAAGATATTCTCACTATATTAATTTTTCATATTCTTCAACAAAGAGCTTTTGTAATAATTTGCATTTATTAAAAAATCGTATTATTCACTTTGTAATATCGTCAGCGTTTAAATAAAGATAAAATGAACCATACAAAATGATGAATATAAAAAGATGAAAGTGGTGAGTTCTTCCAAAATTGTATGTCTTTTACACCGAGTTGAGTACTTAATTTCCGGTATAGGAAGGGTAAACAGTGTGTAGGTGCCTGATAGTGAATCTTTTATCGAAAAGCATAAGCTGGAGGCAGCGGTGACGCGACATAGACGCGGCGGCTGCGAAGGTGCCAACGTTCGCTTGCGTGCACATTTGTGACAGCCGAAGTATTACATTTAATGGCCGCTCACGCGCGCGCGTGCTCCTTCAACAATAAAGCAAATGGACCGATGGCGATGTCAATTAGCATCGCTATTTCGCGGAACTCGTAGATAATTACCGTCTCTTCCACGTGACACGTTTCAATAGATAATTCCAGCGTCCCAATAACTAACGCCAAGTCCCTTCCTTTGTGCCCACAGGTGACAAGATAGATGAAGACAACGGGGGATTGGATTGAGGGTCATCCTTGCGGCCAGTACAAATTAATGGCGCAGTAGTTGTCAAGTGGCGGAATCTAACGCAGTGGGCCGGAAAAAGGCAGTAGGCCGTGGAGAGCTACTGCGGATTAAGACTGCTGATCCTTGCCATCGTCACCGCCCGCACCCTTCGTCTCCTTCCGCGCTTGCGTAAGGCCAACAAGCTACGGAGCCGGTATGGCAACTATCCCAACGTTTAATCACAATATCCATACATTTCGCAACAAACACAAGAATTTACCCAACTTTAAATTATTAGTCTCGACACATCTCACAAATTGTCTTTGGCAAGGGGCCAAGATAACAAGTTTTATTATATCAAAAATCAATTCCATCTCTTTCGCAACAAGACTCTTAATTTCAAGCCTTTAGTATTTCTTAGTGAAATGTTAATTATCCCAAATTATTCAAATTGCAGTCGTTTAAAAGCGTCGTCACAAATTTAGGAACAGCGAATTTCTGCAGATGAGATTTCGTTGAGTCGCAGGGATTATGATTTACAGCCAAGTTTATTACAGCTATAACGGGGTTTTTGCAAGTCGGCTTATTAAGTTCTACTTTTAAATCGTCGTCACTCCGTGGCAGTACTTTAATAAAGAGTTTTGTGCCAAGAATATGACTTCTATTCTCATCCACATTCATATCCAAGCGCGAACTAAATTCGGTTTTATATATTTTTTAATAATATCAAGTGACAGGAGGAACAAGTTATGCGCCTGGTGTTAAGTAACACGCTTGTCTATAACAGTTGCAGCCACTCAAGAGTTTTAAATCGTAAAGAACTGAGGGGCATTGCCATTGCGCCCGTCACCCTGAGACATAAGTTGACAAGTCCCAAGTGCCTGTAATTTCACCAGCACCCTTACCCTTCAAAGTCGGAACGCAGTACCTAATGCTGACATTACAAATTGGCGGCAGAAATAGGTGAGGTGGCAGTACTTCTCTGGACGAACCCTTTCACAAGGACCTCTACTGCTACTAATATGAACAATAAATCACAACAATGAACAATGAAAATATGATCCCCTGCGTTACATTTCTTTTAGCATCGTCTTAAGTAAGTATTACCGACATATAACATACTTAACGGTTCCTCCAATAGACGCAATCCTGTGTCTATTATTCTTTTTACTGCCTCTGAAGCATAAACGTTGCTATATACTCTTAATGCAGAGTAAAAACTTACTAGATAGGCACCGAACTACGGATTGTAGAAACATGTTAGTTTTGTAACAAGTGTTTGTTTGTAACGAGCATAACACCCTGTAAGCGTTCATGTTTGTACGGGGATACTATTTTCTGTACATGATCAAATAAATAAATAAACGCTTGGACCAGCAGAATGACCGCAAACTTCCTTTGTTTCTGTCGATGTTCTGTATTAGGTACGCTCAGGCTGGCAAGCAGGTAGGACCCGTAGACAAATACGCAAGTATGAATACAGCGGTGCAATTTGCCTTTTACAAACTACGCGAGGAGACAGCCAGGCAGAGCCTACTCACGATATGAGAGCAGAAAGCAAGTTTGTAGGGCAAGGCACGGCGCACCCCTCTCCGTCCACCGCGCCCCGCGGCGCCCCGCGCTCGCAGCGAGCGGGCAGCGCGCCGCGCGGTGCACCAGTCGGCATCGGCAGTCGCCCACCGGCCGCGTTACGAGGTGCGTGTACGACGTCGCGCTTCGCCCTCCCCGCGCGTCTCTTTCACGCTCGCGCGGCAAATTCCAGTCACAACTAATCTCACCGCGAATTACTTGCAAACCTGTACCCAAATTGGATTGACGTGTTCGCCGATTACGGCTAGGTAGAGTTTGTGAGTTGAGTGAACAAAATAGTGCATTGTCGAGAGAGCCGGTTTACCTCGTGCGAGGCCGGTTGTGTGCCGCCGCGAGTGGCTGTGCTTTCTAAATGAAGCCCGATGTGTTTAATGTGACTGTGAGTGAAACACAAGTCAAAAATCCTGAATAAAGTTTAAAATATTTTGGATTGTTTGAATCAGGTGACGTACCTAATTATTTCCAATTGATCCCTAAGCCTCTTCCGAAGGTCTTGAACAAAAGGTCAATAGGTACACCATAATCTATTCCGTACAGATATTGCAGCTGTTGCATTGTTAGCTCCTGAATTAAAAATCATATCTCAATAATAGTTTTTTTGAAAAGTAAGTACGTACAGTAGAAACTTCTGTAGTTATAACGCGACTGAACATTGAAATAAGAACATTTACTACAAATTTAAAAAATACCGCACTCTGATAGTCAATTTACTGACTTCTGTTTGTGTAGAAAAGACGATACCTACCTACTTACATCTAGAAATATTAATATTATTTCGGCACAATAGACTCAATTCTGCTTTACACAATTAGCCTGCAAATATTTATCCGGCCAATCCAATGCTAAATTCTGTAAAAGTTTTATTTGTAAATCGAACAATCTCTCATTTCTTCAAAGTGCATCAACATAGCGAAAACTTCAGCAAGTAGATTATGGACTAAATAACTGGATGAAATCAAGACAATATACGATACGGCATTAACGACTCGAGGAGCTACCAAGCCACGAAAGCCATTAAAAGAGCCGTAACCTCCAAGGCAGTTCCATTTTACACAAGTGAGCCGAGCAAGCCAGCACTACATAATAGATTATCTAGTTATACAGTGGCCGTGTGTAAACTTGCTGGATTAACTGGGTTAGATGGAGCAATCACGCTCGGTTGGCTGTGGCGGGTTTATCGCTCGCGCTGCGCCGCATCCGAACCTAAATACAAAGTTAACGCCAACCTGCCCACTTGTAATTGTATGTAAAATAACCTATAAATATTCATAAGCATCCCGAACCCTCCCTGTCGCATACGGACTGGACGTAACGACATTTTTTCTATCCAAGTCACTTTTTTTCAATTTCGTCCAGTGAGATAACAGAATTTCCAAATGTAAAAGATGTGTAATATTAATAACTTTCATTATTATAAATAAAAAATATAATAATATACAAGCCGTTAGGTATGCAATACTATAATGTATCAAGAACGGATAGCAGAGTCGACACGCGACATTATAATATTGACATGGACTCACGTCGATCGAACGTATCGACGAAGCGAAATAAATAAACGACAATGGAAAAAAAAGCGAGTCACCTACGAGGCAGAAACTGTCAAGTATTTTGATACAGTTGAAATCATAGAGGTAGGCTGCGGATTATTCTTGCTATTGCTTGCTTACGAAATATTTTCGTTCGAAATGAGAAAACGATAGCTAACATTGATACAGAATTTGAATAAAGAAATTCCGCCGCACCACTTACATAATATACTAAACAGCCTGGAAATCTAAATTAGGTGAAATAGTGGATATGACATAAAACAGTAAAAAGTGCATGTTCATGCAGGCTTTGGAATATTTTTGTTACTTTTACCACAAAAGTCTGTTCGTACGATTCGGCTATTCATGGGTAGGGTGTGGGGTAGTATAAGGAGCGGAACGTCGTAATGTAATATTCAATTTCTAAAACCAAAACAATCCCTTGCAGTGTCAATCAAGTTTGTTCCTGTTTTGTACATCGACCGGGAGACGAAGAACGATCATCGTAAATTTTGTTTTTATTACAATTTGGCTCTCTTTTCGTATATCTGTTTCATGTTCATGAAAACCTATAAAATTACAAGTGTAGACCTTTAGACTACGAGGCAAGAGACGTTGTCGCTTTCCACAATGTCAAAACTAAACTCATAAAACTTTTCGTTCTTGTGCCACTAACTCATACCTGTAATATCACCATAATTTAAAAAATCCTTGTCACAAATCACTTCGACGGTATTGCGTAGGTAGCTCACATTCGCTCAAAAGAAATGCTCGGAGTTTAATTCCAGGGATAAGCTGATAATCAATTAAATATTAGGGGTTAAAGTATGAAATTGCCGTTTTATTGCAATAGGTTCTCTGAATTTTCATTAGATTTTCAGTACAAATCGGCAATTTCATACTTTAAACCCTATTACTATACCTACCTTAATTTGATTTTAATGAATTAAACAAGTTTTTGATATGACTAACTCACAGAGTTAAGTAAAATTATAAATATTATTTCAATATTGTATATTGAGAAGATCACGTATGTGCTTACTTGTAGCAGCAAAGTCATCATGCATCAAAAGCGTCTGTCTGCTGTGAACGTTCTCAAGCAGCAGCTGCGAGCAGGCATCCGCTGTGTGTCAGGTAGCTGTCTGCTAGCGTCATACGTCCCGGTGTGTGGGCCACGGCGGCCTTTCAATTGTCATTTGCCTTCCCTCGTGTCGTGTTTAGCTTCCCCTTCGGTCTGACATGAGAACTCAGTCGCAGTTAAAAGTGCACGGCATGTTTATTGGTTCAATGTCGAACTATAGATTCCACTACTTAACCTCCGCGTTAAATTGTTGATACGTACAAAGCGAGATATTGTTTCAAGGAAAACAAGCTCTACCCAGCGTATAGCCTGTTTGTCTCTTATCGTTACTCTCGAACGCCTTTAATTATTGATTAGGATGGATTAGAGCCTGATCCCTCCGTCGAGCTCCAACTAATCACTAATTGCATGAGAGAGGACCGTTTCATTCAATTGAGACGAGCTCTATTCATTGGTAACGTGTTAATTTAGCCATTGCTTAGGAGCTGTGACAGAACTGGGCACAATAAAACCATCTGTTACTGATCTGTGGTTCTAATATAACTTTGAATGAGGCTTGATATATCTCAGATTTAGGATTGCTTGTGCGGATAGAACATCAATTCACTTGGTAAAGTCGCATGTCAGTTGCACCGAACGACGACAATTTACGCCGGTCCGGAGATGACATAATTACTAGACAGTGTGTGCAACCGATGTCTCTACTTGACCCACTAACTGCTGTCTCAATGGGAACAGAGTTATCAATTGTCTGTCTGCATCTGGTCCATTATAGTACATTGTGTATTTAGGGCGGTAAATAAGAAATTACTAACGAAAGTCTATTAGGAGCCCAAAACCGAAGACTGAGGGCTGAGGGCTTCAATGACTCGAGGTTTGGATTTTTTACCGCCCATGCTACATGCAACGTTTTTCATCAGATTTGCGAGGAAATAAATACAATGATAATTTATTTCTTGTATAAATAAATATCGCTCCACAACCTAAAGATTACAGTTTTCATAAACAGCGGATTTAGTTTTTTAACGGTAAAATGTTGTAAAAAGCGCATACAGCCGTGATGGTAAAGATTCAAAATACTAAGAGTAGTAGAATTTGAAGTTTAAAAAATTAATTTAGTAAATGTATGTTTTTTTTTCTATATAAAATAATGAAGATTTTTCAAGCACTAAAACTTTTTTTAGACTTTGCCTACATATTACGGCACTGTTTACGAGCAAGTATGATGAAAACGTCATTTCTGCACCAAAATGCAACTAATTGTTAATTGATGCTTTGAATAGTAGTGCGACTAGAAGCTCCTGATAAGTATTCAGTTCTGACTCCATTATAAAATAGAGTTTATAAAATGAAACATAACTCATACGGACTCATCAACGATTTTTTAGATAAATGAACACACAACATTTTAAGTTGATTTATTCAAAACATGCCTCAGACAGGTGTCAATACATCACTCATAAAAAGGGGACTGCAGATGAAAAAGAAAAAGTCTGCTAACATCGAAAAATACCATAAATTCCAAAGCAAATAGCAATCTTATATTTTTTCATTCATTGTAACCGAAGCCAAAATATTGAAACGGAATTTTTTACGAAACATTTTACTAGAGTTAAGTATCTGAAATATTGCTATGGCTGAGGCTTGTCGGCTTTGCATGTGGATTTTACTGCTTCCAGCTTAAATGTTACCCTTAACTTTGGTGCCGTTTGAAAATGCTAATACTTTCGTAAAGTTCGCACTTTATGAGACCTATCTTGATGCGCAGTACAGTCTTCAAAAGACGTGAATACTATTATAATACGTGTGACGCACTATAAGTTTCCGCAATGAATAAGAAAAAATACTATAAATAGTCAGAAACGAATTTATTGTTTCTCGAAATATTCTCCGTTAGCGTTAATGCACCTTTTCATACGAATGAACCAATTTTGAAAACATTTATGCCACTCCTCCGTAACAATCTCTGAAACATATTTTTCATACTCTTCGACAGCCTCTTCAGGCGATGAAAATCGTTGACCGCGTAACTGGTTCTTAATTTTTGGAAATAAATAAAAGTCACGAGGTGCCAGGTCAGGACTGTACGCGGGATGGCTCATAAGGTCAACGTTGTTCACCTTCAAAAATTCATTTGTCTGTCTGGCCGTGTGAGAACCGGCATTATCGTGGTGCAAGATGATACGGCGTTTACGGTTATTTTTACGGACTTTATCAATAACTTCCGGTTAACAAATGGTCGTGTACCAATCACTATTCACGGTACAACCATTCTCCAAAGCAACAGTAGCCACGCGTCCTGTTTTATTAAAAAAAAAGAAGCAATCGTCCGCTTAGAGGCACTTTGCACGCGCGTCACTTTGGTTGGTTTCGGCTCATCTCAAAAGACCCATATGCTCGATTGCTGCTTTGTTTTGGGATCGTAACTATAAATCCATGTTTTGTCACCAGTTACTATGTCCCACACCAAATTTGACGCCCCTTCATTGAATCTGATACGCATGGCATTGCACCAAGTGACGCGATCCGGTTTTTGAGCTTCAGTCAAATTGTGTGGAATCCACCGAGGGCACAGCTTTTTCACACCCCAATGTTAGTGTAGTATTGATTGTATTTGACTCATGCCTATGCCTAAAGATGCCTGAATCTCATGTGACATCACATGTCTGTTTTGATCGTACGGCGCACAACATCGTTGTTTTTGTTGTTCACTGCAGTGGACCATCATGAAATTCGTCACTGAGATTCACACGACCGCGTTTGAATTCTGCAAACCAGCTATAAATAGTCGTCGTCCATGGTGCTTCAACGCCAAAAGCAGCTTGAAGCCGAG